ACACTCACCTGTGACAGTCGGTGATAACCAGGGAAATCCACCTATGACATTCACAGTGCCCAGGGACACCTGCCTGTGACAGTCGGTGGTAACCAGGGACACGCATCTCTGGCAGTCAGTGGTAACCATGGAAACCCACCTGCGACCATGTTAACCAAGGACACCCCTCCTGTGACAGTCAGTGGTACCCAGGGACACCCCTCCTGTGACAGTCGTAAACAGGGACAGCCCTCCTGTGACAGTCACTGGTAAACACGGACAACCTTCCTGTGAAAGTGGTAACCAGGGACACACCACCTGTGCCTGTGGTAACCAAGGAGACCTCTCCTGTGACAGTCAGTGGTAACCATGGACACACCTCCTGTGCCAGTGCTAACCAAGGACACCCCTCCTGTCACAATTGTACCCAGGGACAACCCTTCTGTGACAGTCAGTGGTAACCATGAACACTCACCTGTGACAGTCTGTGGTAACCAGGGAAACCCACCTATGAAATTCACAGAGCCCAGGGACACCGGCCTGTGACAGTCGGTGGTAACCAGGGACACACCTCCTGTGACAGTTGGTGGTGAACAGGAACACCCGTTTGAGACAGTGGGAACCCAGGTCACACACATGTGACATCAGTGGTAACCAGGGAAACACACCTGTGACAGTGGTAACCATGGACACCCCTCCTGTGACAGTCACTGGTAACCACGGACACCACTCCTGTGAGAGTGGTAACCAGGGACAGACCAAATGTGCCAGTGGTAACCAAGGAAACCCCTCCTGTGACATTGGTACCCAGGGACAGCCCTCCAGTGACAGTCAGTGGTAACCATGAGCACTCACCTCTGACAATCTGTGGTAACCAGGGAAACCCACCTATGACATTCACAGTGCCCAGGGACACCGGCCTGTGACAGTCGGTGGTAACCAGGGACAAACCTCCTTTGACAGTCGGTGGTAAACAGGAACACCCCTCCTGTGACAGTGGGAAACAGGGTCACACTCATGTGACAGTCAGTGGTAACCAGGGAAACCCACATGTGACCATGGCAAGCAAGGACACCCCTACTGTGACAGTCACTGGTAACCACGGACACCTTTCCTCTGACCGTGGTTAACAGGGACACGCACAAATGACAGTCGGTGGTAACCAGGGACACGCATCTCTGACAGTCTGTGGTAACCAGGGAAACCCACCTGCGACCATGGTAACGAAGGACACCCCTCCTGTGACAGTCAGTGGTACCCAGGGACACCCCTCTTGTGACAGTGGTAAACAGGGACACCCCTCTTGTGACAGTCACTGGTAACCACTGATACCCCTCCTGTGACAGTGGTAGCCAGGGACACACAACCTGTGCCAGTAGTAAACAAGGACATCCCTCCTGTGACAGTCAGTGGTAACCAGGGACACACCTCCTGTGATAGTCGGTGGTAAACAGGAACACCCCTCGTGTGACAGTGGGAACCTGGGACACACATGTGTGACAGTCACTGGTAACCACGGACACACCTCCTGTGACATTGGTACCCAGGACAGCCCTCCTGTGACAGTCAGTGGTAACCATGAACACTCACCTGTGACAGTCTGTGGTATCCAGGGAAACCCACCTATGACATTCACAATGCCCAAGGACACCGGCCTGTGATAGTCGGTGGTAACCAGGGACAAACCTCCTGTGACAGTCGGTGGGAAACAGGAACACCCCTCCTGTGACAGTGGGAACCAGGGTAACACTCGTGTGACAGTCCGTGGTAACCAGGGAAACCACCTGTGACCATGGTAACCAAGGACACCCCTCCTGTGACAGTCACTGGTAAACACGGACAGCTCTCCTGTGACCGTGGTTACCAGGGACACGCACATATGACACTCGGTTGTAACCAGGGAAACCCACATGCGACCATGGTAACCAAGGACACCCATCTTGTGACAGTCAGTGGAAGCAGGGACACACATTCTGTGCCAGTGGTAACCAAGGACACCGCTCCTGTGACAATGGTACCCAGGACACCCCTCCTGTGACAGTCAGTGGTAGCCATGTGCACTCACCTGTAACCGTCGGTGGTAACCAGAGAAACCCACCAGTGACATTCACAGTGCCCAGGGACACCTGCCTGTGACAGTCGATGGTAACCAGTGACACGCATCTCTGACAGTCAGTGGTAACCATGGAAACCCACCCGCGAACATGGTAACCAAGGACACCCCTCCTGTGACAGTCAGTGGTACCCAGGAAACCCCTCCTGTGACAGTGGTAAACAGTGACACCCCTCCTGTGACAGTCACTGGTAACCACGGACACCCCTCCTGTGAAAGTGGTAACCAGGGACACACCACCTGTGCCAGTGGTAACCAAGGACACCCCTCCTGTGACAGTCAGTGGTAACCAGGGACACACCTCCTGTGCCAGTGGTAACCAAGGACACCCCTCCTGTGACATTGGTACCCAGGGACAGCCCTCCTGTGACAGTCAGTGGTAACCATGAACACTCACCTGTGACAGTCTGTGGTAACCAGGGAAACGCACCTATGACATTCACAGTGCCCAGGGACACCGGCCTGTGACAGTCGGTGGTAACCAGGGACAAACCTCCTGTGACAGTCGGTGGTAAACAGGAACACCCCTCCTGTGACAGTGGGAACCAGGGTCACACTCATGTGACAGTCAGTGGTAACCAGGGAAACCCACATGTGACCATGGTAAGCAAGGACACCCCTACTGTGACAGTCACTGGTAACCACGGACACCACTCCTGTGACCGTGGTTACCAGGGACACGCACATATGACAGTCAGTGGTAACCAGGGAAACCCACATGCGACCATGGTAACCAAGGACACCACTCTTGTGACAGTCAGTGCTAAGCAGGGACACACATTCTGTGCCAGTGGTAACCAAGGACACCCCTTCTGTGACAGTGGTACCCAGGGACAGCTCTCCTGTGACAGTCAGTGGTAGCCATGTACATTCACCCTTGACAGTCGGTGGTAACCAGGGAAACCCACCTATGACATTAACAGTGCCCAGGGACACCTGCCTGTGACAGTCGGTGGTAACCAGGGACACGCATCTCTGACAGTCAGTGGTAACCAGGGAAACCCACCTGCAACCATGGTAACCAAGGACACCCCTCCTGTAACAGTCAGTGGTACCCAGGGACACCCCTCCTGTGACAGTGGTAAACAGGGACACCCCTCCTGTGACAGTCACTGGTAACCACTGATACCCCTCCTGTGACAGTGTTTACCAGGGACAAACCACCTGTGCCAGTGGTAACCAAGGACATCCCTCCTGTGACAGTCAGTGGTAACCAGGGACACGCATCTCTGACAGTCATTGGTAACCAGGGAAACCCACGTGCGACCATGGTAACCAAGGACACCCCTACTGTGACAGTCACTGGTAACCACGGACACCACTCCTGAGACCGTGGTTACCAGGGACACCCACATATGACAGTCGGTGGTAACCAGGGAAACCCACATGCGACCATGGTAACCAAGGACACCCCTCTTGTGACAGTCAGTGGTAAGCAGGGACACACATTCTGTGCCAGTGGTAACCAAGGACACCCCTCCTGTGACAGTCAGTGGTAACCACGGACACGCATCTCTCACAGTCAGTGGTAACCAGGGAAACCCACGTTTGACCATGGTAACCAAGGAGAACCCTCTTGTGACAGTGAGTGGTAAGCAGGGACACACATTCTGTGCCAGTGGTAACCAAGGACAACCCTCCTGTCACAATGGTACCCAGGGACAGCCCTCCTGTGACAGTCAGTGGTAGCCATGTACACTCACCTGTGACAGTCGGTGGTAACCAGGGAAACAAACCTATGACATTCACAGTGCCCAGGGACACCGGCCTGTGACAGTCGGTGGTAACCAGGGACACACCTCCTGTGACAGTTGGTGGTGAACAGGAACACCCGTCCTGTGACAGTGGGAACCCTGGTCACACACATGTGACAGTCAGTGGTAACCAGGGAAAAACACCTGTCACAGTGGTAACCATGGACACCCCTCCTGTAATAGTCACTGGTAACCACGGACACCACTCCTGTGAGAGTGGTAACCAGGGACACACCACCTGTGCCAGTGGTAACCAAGGACACCCCTCCTGTGACAATGGTACCCAGGCACAGCCCTCCTGTGACAGTCAGGGGTAGCCATGTACACTCTCCCCTGAGTGTCGGTGATAACCAGGGAAACCCACCTATGACATTCACAGTGCCCAGGGACACCTGCCTGTGACAGTCGGTGGTAACCAGGGACACGCATCTCTGGCAGTCAGTGGTAACCATGGAAACCCACCTGCGACCATGGTAACCAAGGACACCCCTCCTGTGACAGTCAGTGGTACCCAGGGACACCCCTCCTGTGACAGTGGTAAACAGGGACAGCCCTCCTTTGGGAGTCACTGGTAAACACGGACAACCTTCCTGTGAAAGTGGTAACCAGGGACACACCACCTGTGCCTGTGGTAACCAAGGAGACCTCTCCTGTGACAGTCAGTGGTAACCAGGGACACACCTCCTGTGCCAGTGCTAACCAAGGACACACCTCCTGTCACAATGGTACCCAGGGACAACACTTCTGTGACAGTCAGTGGTAACCATGAACACTCACCTGTGACAGTTTGTGGTAACCAGGGAAACCCACCTATGACATTCACAGTGCCCAGGGACACCGGCCTGTGACAGTCGGTGGTAACCAGGGACACACCTCCTGGGACAGTTGGTGGTGAACAGGAACACCCGTTTGTGACAGTGGGAACCCAGGTCACACACATGTGACAGTCAGTGGTAACCAGGGAAACACACCTGTGACAGTGGTAACCATGGACACCCCTCCTGTGACAGTCACTGGTAACCACGGACACCACTCCTGTGAGAGTGGTAACCAGGGACACACCAAATGTGCCAGTGGTAACCAAGGAAACCCCTCCTGTGACATTGGTACCCAGGGACAGCCCTCCTGTGACAGTCAGTCGTAACCATGAGCACTCACCTCTGACAATCTGTGGTAACCAGGGAAACAGACCTATGACATTCACAGTGCCCAGGGACACCGGCCTGTGACAGTCGGTGGTAACCAGGGACAAACCTCCTGTGACAGTCGGTGGTAAACAGGAACACCCCTCCTGTGACAGTGGGAACCAGGGTCACACTCATGTGACAGTCAGTGGTAACCAGGGAAACCCACATGTGACCATGGTAAGCAAGGACACCCCTACTGTGACAGTCACTGGAAACCACGGACACCTTTCCTGTGACCGTGGTTAACAAGGACACGCACAAATGACAGTCGGTGGTAACCAGGGACACGCATCTCTGACACTCAGTGGTAACCAGGGAAACCCACCTGCGACCATGGTAACCATGAACACCCCTCCTGTGACAGTCAGTGGTACCCAGGGACACCCCTCCTGTGACAGTGGTAAACAGGGACACCCCTCCTGTGACAGTCATTGGTAACCACTGATACCCCTCCTGTGACAGTGGTAACCAGGGACACACCACCTGTGCCAGTGGTAACCAAGGACATCCCTCCTGTGACAGTCAGTGGTAACCAGGGACACGCATCTCTGACAGTCATTGGTAACCAGGGAAACCCACGTGCGACCATGGTAACCAAGGACAACCCTACTGTGACAGTCACTGGTAACCACGGACACCTCTCCTGTGACCGTGGTTACCAGCAACACGCACATATGACAGTCGGTGGTAACTAGGGAAACCCACAGGCGACCATGGTAACCAAGGACACCCCTTCTGTGACAGTCAGTGGTACCCAGGGACACCCCTTCTGTGACATGGTAAACAGGGACACCCCTCCTGTGACAGTCACTGGTAACCACTGATACCCCCCCTGTGACAGTGGTAACCAGGGACACACCACCTGTGCCAGTGGTAACCAAGGACATCCCTCCTGTGACAGTCAGTGGTAACCAGGGACACGCATCTCTGACAGTCAGTGGTAACCAGGGAAACCCACATGCGACCATGGTAACCAAGGACACCCCTCTTGTGACAGTCAGTGGTAAGCAGGGACACACATTCTGTGCCAGTGGTAACCAAGGACACCCCTCCTGTGACAATGGTACCCAGGGACACCCCTCCTGTGACAGTCAGTGGTAGCCATGTACACTCACCCGTGACAGTCGGTAGTAACCAGGGAAACCCACCTATGACATTAACAGTGCCCAGGGACACCTGCCTGTGACAGTCGGTGGTAACCAGGGACACGCATCTCTGACAGTCAGTGGCAACCATGGAAACCCACCTGTGACCATGGTAACCAAGGACACCCCTCCTGTGACAATGGTACCCAGGGACAGCCCTCCTGTGACAGTCGGTGGTAACCAGGGAAACCCACCTGTGACCATGGTAACCAAGGACACCCCTACCCACAGTCACTGGTAACCAAGGACACCTCTCCTGTGACCGTGGTTACCAGGGACACGCACATATGACAGTCGGTGGTAACCAGGGACACGCATCTCTGACAGTCAGTGGTAACCATGGAAACCCACCTGCGACCATGGTAAGCAAGGACACCCCTCCTGTGACAGTCAGTGGTACCCAGGGACACCCCTCCTGTGACAGTGGTAAACAGGGACACCCCTCTTGTGACAGTCAGTGGTAACCAGGGACACGCATCTCTCACAGTCAGTGGTAACCAGGGAAACCCACGTGCGACCATGGTAACCAAGGACACCCCTACTGTGACAGTCACTGGTAACCACGGACACCTCTCCTGTGACCGTGGTTACCAGGGACACGCACATATGACAGTCGGTGGTAACCAGGGAAACCCACAGGCGACCATGGTAACCAAGGACACCCCTCTTTTGACAGTCAGTGGTAAGCAGGGACACACATTCTGTGCCAGTGGTAACCAAGGACACCCCTCCTGTCACAATGGTACCCAGGGACAGCCCTCCTGTGACAGTCGGTGGTAACCAGGGAAACCCACCTATGACATTCACAGTGCCCAGGGACACCGGCCTGTGACAGTCGGTGGTAACCAGTGACACGCATCAGTGACAGTCTGTGGTAACAAGGGACACCCCTTCTGTGACAGTGGGAACCAGGGAAACACGTCCTGTGACAGTCGGTGGTAAACAGGAACACCACTCCTGTGACAGTGAGAACCCGGGTCACACACATGTGACAGTCAATGGTAACCAGGGAAACACACCTGTGACAGTGGTAACCAGGGACACCCCTACTGTGACAGTCAGTGGTAACCACGGACACCACTCCTGTCAGAGTGGTAACCAGGGACACACCACCTGTGCCAGTGGTAACCAAGGACACCCCTCCTGTGAAAATGGTACCCAGGGACAGCCCTCCTGTGACAGTCAGTGGTAGCCATGTACACTCACCTGTGACAGTCGATGGTAACCAGGGAAACCCACCTATGACATTCACAGTGCCCAGGGACACCTGCCTGTGACAGTCGGTGGTAACCAGGGACACGCATCTCTGACAGTCAGTGGTAACCATGGAAATCCACCTGCGACCATGGTAACCAAGGACAACCCTCCTGTGACAGTCAGTGGTACCAAGGGACACCCCTCCTGTGGCAGTGGTAAACAGGAACACCCCTCCTGTGACAGTCACTGGTAACAACGGACACCCTTCCTGTGAAAGTGGTAACAAGGGACACACCACCTGTGCCAGTGGTAACCAACGACACCCCTCCTGTGACAGTCAGTGGTAACCAGAGACACACCTCCTGTGCCAGTGGTAACCAAGGACACCCCTCCTGTGACATTGGTACCCAGGGACAGCCTTCCTTGACAGTCAGTGGTAACCATGAACACTCACCTGTGACAGTCTGTGGTAATCAGGGAAAGCCACCTATGACATTCACGGTGCCCAGGGACACCGGCCTGTGACAGTCGGTGGTAACCAGGGACAAACCTCCTGTGACAGTCGGTGGTAAACAGGAACACCCCCTCCTTTGACAGTGGGAACCAGGGTCACACTCATGTGACAGTCAGTGGTAACCAGGGAAACCCACCTGTGACCATGGTAACCAAGGCCACCCCTACTGTGACAGTCACTGATAACCACGGACACCTTTCCTGTGACCGTGGTTACCAGGGACACGCACAAATGACAGTCGGTGGTAACCAGGGACACGCATCTCTGACAGTCAGTGGTAACCAGGGAAACCCACCTGCGACCATGGTAACCAAGGACACCCCTCCTGTGACAGTCAGTGGTACCCAGTGACACCCCTCCTATGACAGTGGTTAACAGGGACAGCCCTCCTGTGACAGTCACTGGTAAACACGGACAACCTTCCTGTGAAAGTGGTAACCAGGGACACACCACCTGTGCGAGTGGTAACCAAAGACACCTCTCCTGTGACAGTCAGTGGTAACCAAGGACACCCCTCCTGTGACAATGGTACCCAGGGAGAGCCCTCCTGTTACAGTCAGTTGTAACCAGGGACACACCTCCTGTGCCAGTGGTAACTAAGGACACCCCTCCTGTGACAATGGTACCCTGCGACAGCCCTCCCGTGACAGTCAGTGGTAACCATGTACACTCACCTGTGACAGTCGGTGGTAACCAGGGAAACCCACCTGTGACATTCACAGTGCCCAGGTTCACCTGCCTGTGACAGTCGGTAGTAACCAGGGACACGCATCTCTGACAGTCAGTGGTAACCAGGGAAACCCACCTGTGACCATGGTAACCAAGGACACCCCTCCTGTGACAATGGTACCCAGGGACAGCCCTCCTGTGACAGTCGGTGGTAACCAGGGAAGCCCACCTGTGACCATGGTAACCAAGGACACCCCTCCTGTGACAATGGTACCCAGGGACAGCCCTCCTGTGACAGTCGGTGGTAACCAGGGAAACCCACCTGTGACAAGGGTAACCAAGGACACCCCTACCCACAGTCACTGGTAACCAAGGACACCTCTCCTGTGACCGTGGTTACCAGGGACACGCACATATGACAGTCGGTGGTAACCAGGGACACGCATCTCTGACAGTCAGTGGTAACCATGGAAACCCACCTGCGACCATGGTAAGCAAGGACACCCCTCCTGTGACAGTCAGTGGTACCCAGGGACACCCCTCCTGTGACAGTGGTAAACAGGGACACCCCTCCTGTGACAGTCACTGGTAACCACGGACACCCTTCCTGTGAAAGTGGTAACCAGGGACACACCACCTGTGCCAGTGGTAACCAAGGACACCCCTCCTGTGACAGTCAGTGGTAACCAGGGACACACCTCCTGTGCCAGTCGTAACCAAGGACACCCCTCCTGTGACAATGGTACCCAGGGACAGCCCTCCTGTGACAGTCAGTGGTAACCATGAACACTCACTTGTGACAGTCTGTGGTAACCAGGGAATCCCACCTATGACATTCACAGTGCCCAGGGACACCGGCCTGTGACAGTCGGTGGTAACCAGGGACAAACCTCCTGTGACAGTCGGTGGTAAACAGGAACACCCCTCCTGTGACAATGGTACCCAGGGACACCCCTCCTGTGACAGTCACTGGTAACCACGGACACCCTTCCTCTGAAAGTCACACTGTCACAGGTGTGTTTCCCTCCTGGCTGCTTATCACCATCAGCAGTGATTTTGGAACCCAAAAAAATAAAGTCAGCCACTCTTTCCCCATCTATTTCCCAAGAAGCGGTGGCTGTGTGGTCACAGGAGGGTCGAGAGGAGCTACTCCACAAGTCAGAAGGGGAGCTCTGAGGAGATACAATTCGTCCAGGGTAAGGAGCAGTGGCTGCACTTTGCTGGAGCAGACAAAAAGGAATACCCCACTTCTAAGGTAGGAGAAACCCAAGTAAGACGGTAGGTGTGGCTAGAGGGCATCAGAGGGCAGACACTGAAACCATAATCACAGAAAACTACTCAATCTGGTCACACGGGTCACAGCTTTGTCTAACTCAGTGAAACTAAGACGTGCCATCCAAGACGTCAGGTCGTGGTGGAGAGATTTGACAGAATGTGGTCCACTGGAGAAGGGAATGGCAAACCACTTCAGTGTTCTTGCTTTGAGAACCTCATGAACAGTATGAAAAGGCAAAATGATAGAATATGGAAAGATGAGCTCCCCAGGTTGGTAAGTGCCCAATATGCTACCAGCGATCAATGGAGAAATCCCTCCAGAAAGAATGATGGGATGGAACCAAAGCAAAAACAATATGCAGTTGTGTATGTGACTGGTGATAGAAGCAAGTTCCAATGCTCTAAAGAGCAATATTGCATAGGAATCTAGAATATTAGGTCCATCAATCAAGGCAAATGGGAACTGGTCAAACAGGAGATGGCAAGTGTGAATTTCGACATTCTAGGAATCAGCGAACTAAATAATGGACTGGAAAGGATGAATTTAACTCAGATGACCATTATATCTACTACTGAGGGTAGGAATCCCTTGGAAGAAATGGAGTAGCCATCATAGTCAACAAGAGTCCCAA